ATTTCATTCAGCAGGAACATTTCAGTCTTTCTCATACCACAGGAAGCACTGTATTTCTTAGTGTTCAGGGATGTATAATACATGGCAATGTTCATTATTCAGGAAAAGAATGTTCATTATAATGAAATGAAGCCTTAGTTACACCACTGCATGGTTCAAGATAGATGTATTTTTGATGAGTCTTTTCAGGACATACATTTCTGAGAGAGCAACCGATTAAAATTACTTCTACAGTCAAGACAAATGTATTTGTAGAGGCACAGGCATTAATAAATAAACAAGATTTCCATTTGCACTTTTAAGTAGCTGTGGTGGGTCAACCCTGGCGGGATGCAGGTGCCTACCAAGCCACTATATCACTCCCCTCCTCAGCTGTACAGGGGACAGGAAATATAATGAAAAGCTCATGGGCTGAGAAAAGGACAGGATTTCAATAGAGCCTGAAGTCTCCTACATGCTCTTTGCGTAGGCTTATGTCAAAGAGATGATTCCTTTCTGGCAACTCAGTTATGATTGTAAAGATGTTAACCTCAGTGCTCTACTTATTCTTGTTTTTGACACTGTTTATGCCAATATTTTTTTTTTTGTCATCATGAAGACAATAAAAATTTAAAATATATCTACAGTAAATATCAACTCTGTACTCCTGAAATGCTAAGCAAAACTTTGAGAGGGGAAAGAGAACAAAGGCTGTTTACGGTAGGCTCACTGTTGAGATGTAAACACTTCTTTGATGCATGGTATAGAACAACAGTCAAAGTTGCTTGGGAAGATCATAGAGTAGAGGGTGGATTAGGTTTCACTTCTAGCCTTTTCTTCTGGACATCCAGAGCCCTTTTATATTTAGTGGTGTAAATCTAACTCTTAAATGTTTTTGGAATATTGCAAATTAGCAAAGACTGGTCTGACTTGTAATCCCTTTCCTGTGTTGTTATTTTGTGGCCTGATATTTTTCTTAACAATTATTCTAAAACAGGGAAAGTGAGTTTGGTCTTGATACAGCACTGATACATTCCAGGTTACTGTATAAGTGCAGCTAGGAAGGCTGCGGCAGACTTTTCTCTCTTACTTTCCATGTTTCCATGAGTATATCGAGAATCAAAACGTAGACTGGGTGAAGGAGAGAAAGGAAAAGGACTGTTGTTAATGCATCTACAGAAAGAATGATGGTGCATAGTTTGGGTGACTGGATGTACTGTCTTCCTTAGAAAATGAAACCAGTTCAACCTTTGTCTGGGGAGCCTACACAACTAGGTTTTCTGCATTCATAACTAGCCACCTCTGCATATTTTGTGGGTGCTAAATAATACATAAGTTTGTTGAGAGGTAAGATGAACACCAAAACCAATGAATGAATTCACATTCTTGATTTAGGATGGACTGGCTTACTCTCATAAATGTAAAAGTGTTGGAAAAAAGCCCAATAGAAAATGTAAACTTTCCATACTTTCTGTATTTGTGAAATAAATAACTGTGAATAATATACAGGCTTTAGGTAGAATTTAATGAGGAAAAATCTGACATACTTTCAAATAACGATTATGTATAAAAGATAGTGAAATATTTTCCTATGAATTTCTAGGTACTGCTTGATTTTTCCAAGAATGAAAAACCACTCTTATTAAAAACTTTGTGATATTTCTATGGGAACAACAGTTTGTGATCAAGGGCTTGGATTATGGATGAAATTTTCTTCCCTTCAGTAGCCAATACAAAGCTTAAATAAAACTTCAGTCATTACAGGTAAAGATCATTTAGAGCAATGTGCTGATTTCCCTATGGTAGAGGTGAAATAGTGTAAGATACCAGTATCAGGCCCTTGAAGGCAAGATGTCATCAGTAACCCATTTGGTTCTTTATGATGTGTCAGTCCCCTGCTACATGTGGCATTCAAATTTGACAGATACAGCTTCTTTGAAGTCTGCACATGAGGAGGTGATGAAGTACCATATGTACAGGTTAAGCTTTAAGAAGAAACATCAGCAGTTGACAGCCACTGGATCTGCCACCTAATAAAAGACAAAAATTTTACTTTCCCTTTTTGAGTATGTAGTCTTGTACTTTTTCATATCCTTATTTCTATCAGCCCTTTTCAACTCTGTCAGCCGACTGTTCTCTAGGGCAGCAAGAAAGCACCTTTCACTGAGGATTACTCCTAAAGCCAGGTGCTAGTTTGCAAAGTAGCAGATGCTGAATTAAGAGCAGGGGTTTTTAGAGGAGAAACATAAATCATAGAAATACTGTGTTGTTTTAACAGAATAAACTGGAATATTTCCTAAGAAATCTATTGGTGAAGCAAAATCTATTGGTCAAGCATTCACCTTATTTTCTAATATTTCATAAAATCATAGAATTATATAATAATAATTAGTTCAATTAAAGTGGAAATGCTGCAGTTAAATCTTTTATAGTTGTCTTTTAGTATTAGAATACTATATTCTAAGTATGGGAGTAATAAACAGCATTTCTTTGACCCAATTACCTATTAACTGGGCAATCAAAGTAGCTAAAGAGAGAAGGAGAATGTCTGTGGGGCCAGGGTCTTTTATGAAAAAAAAAAAAAGTACACAGTGAGAAGCACATGAAGAATGCGCTACCTGTATTGCAGTTAATACTGATGTTTTAATTGGTCTTATTAATAACTAAAATGTATGGCACTTATTCCAGGGTCTAATTTAATTTGCAGTTATGAATAGGAGAGTTCATGAAAGTGATTTTTAGCTGAAATCTTCAATGTAGACACCTTTATATGAGTTCATCAACAGGACAGCCACTGAGTCAAGTTTAGCATGAAGTCCCTTCTCTTCAGCTATATGAAATGAATTATTAAACTATAGTGTTTGACTGTTTTCTCTAAATGGAAATAAGTTTCCTGATATTTGAATGGTTTCAGCAAAATGATGAAAATAAATTGTGCATAGAGCTTGGGCCTTTTCAGAAATAAAATAAAACCCAAAGAAAACAATCAAAAAACAGAAGTGGAAATAATTCACTAACAGTTAATCTGCCTAAAGTTTTCAGAGGAGTTTCTAAGGCAAAATGCATTTAGGTTATTAACAGAATAATATTTTTTTTCTTATTGTATTGTTGTATTGCTATGTACAATGCCCTAAAACCCATTGGTATTAATAGTTGAGCACATTATTTCTTGATTGATGTATATAATGCCTGTCTTACTCTTGATGGGTAAATATATACTTAACTAGTTCTTATCTAGTAAATGAACTTAAAACTATTTTGGCATGATTATTCTCTATATGCTTAATCTTTCAAATAAGTGTTTGCATAGTTGTAAAAAGCTTTACTGATGTTTGCATATATGTGCGTGTGTGTGTGTATACAAAAATACCTGTTGTATGGTAAGCATAGCGTCCTTTGTTATAGCTCAAGAATTTCAGGCCTTCATATTTAAACAGCACAAGCCATGCTCATAAAAGATCCTCAGTTTTGAGATAAGGTATACCTTTGCTTTGAAGAGAAGCAGTTCAAAATCTTTTCCCAGGAAACACTTTAGGATCTAAAAAACAGCCTCTAGTGACTAAAATTCTCCTGTTTTCTACTCTGACATGATGTCTTTTTTATGATTTAAAAGAAAACTATACCTTGTCCTTTTAAACTCTTGTGATGATGAAAGTATAGGATTTCTATGAATAGATGATGACACTTGTAATTTAAAATCTTTAGCCTCATTTGCCTTTAGCTTTGAAATTCTCATCTGTTGTTGAAACTGTGTATGATCAGAAAAGCTGAGGTGAGTCCCTGTTCTCTAACTTATTCCTGCCTAAAATAAGCTAGTGGTATTAGTACTTGGTTTTTGCATTTTATTCTAATGTTGCAACTCTGGAAGACATGGAAGAGAAAGAAAATTTTGATACACAGGCTTTGATTTGGAGACATTAGATACAAAGCTCACCATTCTCTGTGTAATGCTTGGAAGAGATAAGTAATGAGAAGACATTTTTCAGATCATACTGATACTTGCATTGCCTGTGCATCTGAGTATTTGAAACTAAGAGGTTTTTGTTTTATATTAACTTGGATCTTTTAATCAGAAGTATTGAAAGAACTGTAAGCAGGTTGATTATGTATGTTGTTCCTCACCCAATGAACTGCATGTTTTGATCTTTCTGTGTGATTGTGAAAAAATTGATACAATTGTGAAAGAAGAGTAAAAATAAAAAATGTCCTTTAAAAACCAAAGGTTTGTTGTTTTGGTGGTATTTTTTTTTAAAGAAGTAAGTCCTGACATTAGAAATTTAAAATCAGTGCACAATTAGGGTTAAAAATTAAGACAGTGTAAAACTTGCAAGGTAGAGCCTGAAATGCATTTCAGTTTGTCCCCTGTTTCTCCACTAGTGTTTGTTTGGACTGAATGAATGTTGCTGAATTTACTCTGCAGTTATTACTCCTTGTAGTGGTGATAAGGGTTAATGTGCTGTCTGGGCCACATAGTCAGTTTAGTGTCTTGGTTTAAGCCGTAATAGAGGAGAATCACTTTAATCCCTACCAAGGGGGTCAGCAATATGCAAATGGACCCAAGGAAGTTATATTCATTTATTAAATTAGGATTTATGAATGTCTGTGTAGAGTAGATTCTGAAATTTGCAAGTTAGTCATTTAGAAATTAGTATCAGTTGTTGAAATGATTTTTTCATTGAGAATGTAGTGAAGTATTAAGTTAATTGAGTTCAAATTTCTTTGACTTTGTCCTGTAGTCTGCAAGGGGAGAGCAATGGAACAAGGTAAAACAGTGAGACACCAGTGGTATTATAAAGCATTTCAACAGCCATGGAGAATGCTCTTTGTGCCATGTGATATAAAATAAGTTATATTGTTTGCCCCTGGGAGATCGGATGATAAGGTTAAGAGAGTATCAATCTCTCATCTGTAATAAATCTATTTGCAGACCTCAGTCTCTGAATTGGCAAAATCTGTTATTGCCAAAGCATTTTTTTTGACTTCTTGGAATGCTCAATACTAACTTCCTTCTCCCATTTCAGTGTCTGAAAAGCATTTCAGCCAGCAGTACTTCTACAAAACAGCTGCGTGCCTATTTCATTGATGATCCTGAATCTGCGCAATGTTTAAGTTGCAAGCTGGTGGAGGGGTAGAAAATCTCTTGGTTTATTTTATTGCAGGCAGAGGGAGCTTATCTATACATTCATAAATGTTTTAAACAATTCTCATTACCACATTTTGATAGTATAGAATTTATTGTAGTATTCAAGACAGATGAAGGTCAGATTTGACATGATAGCTTTCAAGGCAAGGTGTCTTTCAAGGCTCTTATGTCTTCCTTTGGAAAGGGGTAGACTATTTGTCAGGAGGGCAGATGATGTGGTGTATAATGGGGGGAAATTGACATGCATGACTTCAACCATAAGGAGAGAGAGCATTTAGACTAAAGATACTGAATCTCAAATTTTAAAATTGAAACAACATTCAAAAGACTCACTAAGAGCAAATCTCAATGTTAAATCCAGAAATACTGTCTAGGGGATTTTTCTAGTTGTTTTCAGAAAATCTGTGAAGAGAAATAGGATGAAGTATCATGGGCTGGTGTGAAACTCTCTCAGGTTTGATGCAGGTTTGTAGAAGTGCACCAAAGTATGTATACACAGAACAGTAGTTTTTTTAAACTGACTAATAAGATGTAGAATGCTTAAAGAGTGTAGGGCTCTCAGTGGTTAGCATCAGTTATGCAAGAATGAAAGGCAGTTATTTTGGGGTCACTGAGTGTTTTAGCAGTGTCTGAACAGGCACATGACCTTGAGTTAGCAAGATAATGCAAGCGAATCCAGCCAGCCATTTCAGTGCTTCATAGGCATGTAATTGTCTTCCATACTGCTCTCCCTGAGAAGCAGCGTAAGTAGGGCTGACACATTAAAAAGTCTGACATGAGAGTAATATAATTAACATTAGGAGAAATAATTATTTGGGTTATATTTTTATTTTAGTTTGCTGTAATATGAAAACAAACCAACCAAATAAAACTGAAAGTAATAAAGATTCTATGATTCTGTGAGTGGCATTTATATACCCAAGTCCAGGATTTAAATCACTTTTCAAGAAACAGGGAAGACTTAGGATTTATAACAGACAGTTAATCAAGGGGAGTATAGAGAGAAACAAGCAGCGAGATAAGTCAGGCAGAGGGAAATGTTGCAGAAAGATGTCTGAACTACAGTTTTTCTCCAAGAGGAAAACTTGGTGCAGGTGGGCGCTGAAGTTGCCTATGCTGAGGCTTTCACAGCCCCAAACTAGCTTTGTGAGTATCTCAATCATGCCTTTGGAGATAGGCAGCAAATTTATTCCTGCCTTGTGAAACCTATTTGAAAGATGCAGAGGTGTGATGGCCCTGGCTCCCTTCCTCTCTCTAGTGTGTGAAGCACTGTTTCAAGGTGCAGGAGTCTAAGTTTTGTGGTTTTTTTCCCCTTCACCAGTCCAAAAAAATTAATTGGCAGCCTGTGATCTGCAGCCCTTTGACTTCAGAATGAATAAAATCTTAAAAACATAGCTATAAACTAGTTTGGGGAAGAATCTGTCTCTCTTGTTAAAGTTGTGCTGTTTTTCAGCCATGAAATCCAGGTTTATAGACCAAAGGTAAGATGGGAGGGAGCCTTACTTGTAGCCTGCTCATGGGGCTATCCAAGCACTACAATGAAAATATGGGTGCCAGCATGGTTTCTGTGTGTGTGGTTTTGTGTTTTGTTTTTTTTTTTTTTGTGTGTGTGTGTGGTTTTTTTTTTGTTTGTTTGTTTTTATGGTTAATGTTATGGATTTCTGAAATATAGCATCTCTTCTTACCTTCTTTCTCCCTCTGTCACCATTTCATCCTGGGCCTTAACCTGATAAAACACCCCACATATTGCCAGCCATTGAAAGAAGGAAGAAAATTGAATAATGCTGTGAAGCTAATACCAGTATGTTTTTTGATGCATTCCACCAGTTTACGTGATATCAGTAACATCAGATTTTCCTGTTCCTCATCTGTGTTTTTGTAGCTTTAGATACTGATGTATGAAATTGCTTAAATAGAGGATTATATCTGCCTTTTTATTGAGGCAGTACCATGTACATGCCTAGCTATAAGTTTAAACATAAAATTAAGAATGTTCTGGTGTGCTATCCTCACCAAGGGGTGCTTTCCTGAACAGATGTGTGTTTCTACTGATGACAAGTCATGCTGTTCTGATGTAGAAATCTTCTTAGTAATTGCAAATGAAAATGTGTTTTGACTTTTTTAACTTGGTTACCTTCTTGTTTACTATGATTCTAAATAATTCTAAACAACAATTCTACAAAATTGAAGCTACAGCTGTTCGGAAAAGTGTGGAATACTTGTGTCCATGTGGTGTCATAGTGCATAGTCTGCTCTTAAAGTGAAGTGCTACATTAAAATTCCAGATTAAAACCAATTCTACTGATGAATGAGCCTATCAAGCATCGTTTCACCCCTGCATATGGAAATGGCTTTTCTGCTGAGTTCACAGCTGTTTTCTTGTTCTGTAGTTTTCATTCATATTTTTTTAAATGAACCTGTGGCTACTCTAACAATGTTTAAAATGAAAGGTTCCCCACAAACTCTGAAATGTATAGTACTGGTTCATTCACTTTTCCCTCTCTCTTCTCTTCCATGCTTCCTTCTCCTTCCTCTTTCTCCCTTCTCACTCCCTGCCAGCCTTTAAATTGCAGATTGTTCCCAAAGTTAAATTTGAATTCTGTGTTTTGGTCACAGAATTCCTATTAGCACAACAGTGCCCAGCAGAGTGGCAACTTTCCTGGGAATGTAATTGTGTAATTTGTTTAAAATGAATGAAATTTAGTTTCAGCCATGCCTCGTAAGTAAAATGTATGCATCCAAGGAGATAAAGACCTCTAATTTAAAGCTTGCACATAAAAAGTTATAGTCAGTCTCTATGCTCCAGTTGAAGTCTACGAGCATAGTACAGCAGTACTGTTTAAACTGTAAGACATTATCTAATTCTCTATACACATTTGTATAGGTAGATGACATTAAATGAGCTCCATTTACCAAAGTGAAGAAGTAACAGAATAATCTTCTCTAATATGTAGAAACTCAGACTTAACTTCCAGTTGAATAAATTCACAGCAATATAATACTAAAGAGAATGATATTTTAGAATTAGGTAGCAGATTGGTCTGTTAAAAGAATATATTGTACTAAACCCAGTAAATGCAGAATGTCCATTAATGTAATTGAATATTAATATGTCTTAGTACTGCTGAAGGTAAAGGACGAAAAGGAATGTAGCAGCATATCAAGAATGAGACAAAAAGACAAGCTAGGAATGCCATAGCATGTATTGCTTTATTTATTGCAAATACTGGCCATCAAAGACATCCAGAAAACCGCACAAAGACATTTATCTATGAGATCTTTTAAGCTGTCTATAGAATCATCTCAACAAATGCCTGTTCAGCACATGGTAAATTAAACTTTTTTGTCACGTATGAGCATAGATGATTCTGTTAAGATTACCATCAGAAAATAAAAACATTTTATTCCTCCCTCAACTGCTTTATTTGAATCATTTACTAATGTAAGAGGATCTACAAATGGAAAGCTTCTGAGGTAATTTAGGCCAGTCAGGTGCTTTTTAGGTTTTGGTCCTCACATAGGTTGGAATGTAGGAAGGCAGCCAGGATGACTAAGGCCTCCTTAAAATTAAATCTGGTGAGAGGGGTCAAGGACAGCAGAAAGAGCTTTTTCAAATACATGGCAGATAAAACTAACACCAGAGGCAATGTAGGCCCACTGATGAACGGGATGGGTGCCCTGGTGACAGAAGATACAGAGATAGCAGAGTTACTGAATGCCTTCTTTGTCTCTGTCTACTCTGCTGCAGGCAGTCCTGAAGAGCCCTGTACCCCTGAGACCTTAGATGAAGTCAGGTCGACGGAGCGGTTCGCCTTAGTAGATGAGGAATGTGTTAGAGACCAGTTGAGCAATCTGGACATCCATAAATCCATGGGTCCAGATGGGATGCACCCGCGGGTGCTGAGGGAACTGGCGGAAGTCATTGCTAGACCACTCTCCATCATCTTTACCAAGTCTTGGGAAACGGGAGAGGTGCCCGAGGACTGGAGGAAAGCAAATGTCACTCCAGTCTTCAAAAAGGGCAAGAAGGAGGACCCGGGTAACTATAGACTGGTCTGCCCTGGTAAGACTGCATCTGGAATATTGTGTCCAGTTCTGGGCCCCTCAGTTCAAGAAGGACAGGGACCTGCTGGAGAGAGTCCAGCGCAGGGCAACAAAGATGATTAAGGGAGTGGAGCATCTCCCTTATGAGGAAAGACTGAGGGAGCTGGGTCTCTATAGTTTGGAGGAGAGGAGACTGAGGGGTGACCTTATTAGTGTCTATAAATATATAAAGGGGGAGTGTCACGAGGATGGAGCCAGGCTCTACTCAGTGGCAAACAATGATAGGACAAGGGGTAATGGGTACAAACTGGAACAGAAGAGGTTCCACTTAAACTTGAGAAGAAACTTCTTCTCAGTGAGGGTGACAGAACACTGGAACAGGCTGCCCAGGGAGGTTGTGGAGTCTCCTTCCCTGGAGACATTCAAAACCCACCTGGACACATTCCTGTGTAACCTTATCTAGGTGTTCCTGCTCCAGCAGGGGGATTGGACTAGATGATCTTTTGAGGTCCCTCCTAGTCTCTGGCATACTGTGATACTGTGAATATAAACCCATTGATATTCTGCATGTCCCTGTAGCAGGCTGCTTTGTGATGGATACCTAACCTGACATGTTCCTCTTAATAATCCGTATTTCCAAAGAGCTAGCTTCTGAGGTATATATCTGGGTTCTCAAAAGCCATGAGCACAGAATCTGACAATACATTACTTTTATTTCCCTCAGCTTACTTGAATCAATACAGTTGGAAGTTACAGAGAGGCCACAGCTAACTAAAGTTCTTTTCTAGTATCCTAATTTTGTAGTTTCACACCACACAACTGGTTGATTATTGGCTGTAGATATGGTAGACCTTTACTCTTGCATCTCAAACCAAGGTCATAGCACACTTTCAGCTATCATGAACGAAGTTAAGAACAGTCATGAGTTTGCAGTGAATTAGGAAGTACTGGAGGATACATCATTGCTGTGCTGGAAGCAGAGTAGCATCAGTTTGAATTTCTCCTATGGCAGCCAAGGGTATTGTGCTGACAATATGAGCAGAGACCACCCTGTAAGTGTGCTTTGGCTTCATGGTAGCATATTTCAGTGGCTGGAGGAGATTTAGTTTTCCAGCACTTCTTATTTGCGGGCAGGTGGAGAGATACCTTTCTGCAATGGAGTTGCTGCATGGGGCTTTGGAAAACAAAATATCTGTGGTACCTATGATGTTTGGCCCCATTTTAAGCTGTTCAATGCTTGCATCTCCTTTTGGAGAAAATGGGAAAATTTATTACGTTTTCACTGAAAAGGTTGTACTTCCTTTGTGTGCATGTTTGTATAAGAGTTTTAATTGAAGTGTGGGCAGAAATTAGAGTGAAATTGAAACTATTGGTTTCAGAATGGAATGTATC